AATTTTTGGAAAAGAAAAATGTTATGAAATATTTAATCGAAAAAATTGAAGTTAATAATTAAAAAATATAACAAATTAACTACAGTCGTGAGATTTGTATTTCAGACTTTTCAGATTTTTTTATGTTGCCAAAGAAAGCTATTAAAGAAGCTTTATTGTTTGTGATATTTGCAATTGTTTTCATTCTACATCTGTTCGAATTCTTGAACATCGAATTCTCTTGAACATATGACAGATCACACAATGAAAATATGACTGATCACAACAAGTATGTATTTTCTGTGTCTTTCACGAAGGACAATAAAAAGAAATTTCACCTTACAAATTTTTAAAACAAATATTTAATGTCATTAGTATCGTATTGGGTTGTCCGGAAAGTTCGTGCCGATTAATCTATATAATTTAATAAATGTATACTAAAATTTAAATTTTCTGCGTTTCAATTTTCCTTCAACATCGGCATCCTAACTATCCGGGCAACTCAATATGATTCACGTAAAATATTGAAAATTATTTGTAAATTTAATTATTTTTCTCTCAAATTATCGATTTTTGTCTTAATAATTTACGTAGGTATAGAATTGTATGGTGTCAATTGGAAGAATATCATTCTCTGGATGTATATAATTATATATCCAGAGAATGATATTCTTCCAATTGATAAAAGGAACAAAAATTTCCATCTGAATGTCGAATGGCTGTTTATTCCATTATTAAAGTCACAGTAAGAACCTATAGTGTTTTCTTGAATATATTAAAAGTAAATGTAATAATATGGTTGCAGTCAATAAAAGTTTCAGTATCTTATTTTACTATCGTATTATCTGCACATTTAGAAGAGAAATACGAATCAAATATGAGCATAAGAAGATATATGTTCGGTAGAAATAAAACAACATTTCTCACATTTCAAAAAAAAAAGAAAATTCTGTCTTTTTGCTACGTATATTATTTTTGCTTAAATTAATTTATTATTAGAAATGCGAAATCAAAAGTATTCACAACATAAGATTAAATCTCGGTTCAATTTAGTTTTTATCTTTTTTAATTTGAAGTATTAGATAAAGATAAACAGTAAATTAAATTCAGATTATAATTAATCTTACATTGATGAAACCGAAAGTAAACGTCTGTAAATATATATTAAAACTGAACATATTGTAAAATTATAAACAACAGATTCCATTAATTTATTGTAGAATTTATAATAATATTCTTTTATAATAATATTCAATAGATAATGTTAATGATATTATCGCAATGTTTTGCAAAATATAAGCATTACATTGGAAAATATTGTGTTGATTTAATTACCATATTTTAAATTGATATGAGATATATTAATTGCGATTGATGCCGAAGAAATAATAAGAACATAATAAGAAAGAAGATAATATTCATCTCAAAGACCAAATGTTATATTATGAGAGTCCATACGAAAATGAAGTTAATGCAAAAAAAGCTATGCGCTTGCGTGACTTTTGTCTTTTGATAAATGTACATCTTTTTTCTTTTTTTTTTATTAAAAGAAGATATTTCTTCATAATTTTCTTGATATCGGAATTGTGGCTTAATAGTATTCATTGCAAAAAATACTACTAAAATATAAATGGATTTGTGATCTCACAAATGGATATTTCTTGTATAGCCTAGCACTACACAAATTATAGCATTTAAATTAAAAATTTACACAATAATAGAGAACATCTAGGTAATCGATGGAGAAGAAGAAGGGATAATCGACATACTCATCGACTGCTTCATAACCAGTTACAATCCGGACAGCGCAGAGGATGGTTCATCTAGGGATTCAATATTTCAGCTTCAATAGAATTATGTTGCTCGTTATCGGCTTATGGCCCTACCAACAATCTAAATTTACACGATTTCAGTTTATCCTCTTTTCTACTATTCTAACAGCGGGTATTATATTTCAGGTAAGACTAGAGTATATAATAGTACAGTATATAATAGTATAATAAGTTATTATTTTGCAAATCTTTATTAAGTCTATCTCATTATTATATAATATAAGTGTTATATAAATTTATAATTGTTTATAAATGTATAATTGAAAATAAAATTGCTACTGGTAGTTGACAACGCTAATGACATCAAAATGTACTTTAAATCTCGTCAGCAAGGTCCTCTCTTCCACGTCTTTCTTTGTTTTTTGCATAATAAAATACAACTTCTTCAGTTGTAATATCGAAGCTGTAAGTTGATGACTTAGGATAAAAGCATTAGATGTGGATCAGGCACTAGTTCCGAATCATTTTTTATATTTAAGTAATTAAAGTATTTTTCATTAAATTGTACATATTTTATAAATGTACAAGATTTTTAAATATGCGAAATTAATTAACGTATGTATCTTTAAAAATTCATTCAAATGTAATATCGTAAGAATTGCTTTATGACTTTTTTAGTAGATAGTAAATAACATTAAATTTGATAGAAAGAATCAATGTTATGCGAAGATGAAATTAAATGTACCCACGGATGTTGTTTAATCATTATGTTATAACGATACTTTTATTGCGTAAATTTATTATAAAAATGTTTAGAAACTTATAAAATCTTACAAATGATTTCACGATGACATCTCGAAAATATTTATTTGTTTTAAATAACAAAATAGAATATAAAATAGTATACATGTTTATATGCTAAAAGTGTTACAATAATTTACTCATAATTTAATTGTTTTTTATTGCTAAACATTCCATTTTAATTAATTTTATTATCATTAATTATTTACTGTCACTAATTTTAAATAAACTAATTTTAAATAAACTTAAATGTGATAAAATTGCATCATGATCCACAATTAGATCCTAGAATTAGATATGAATCATCAACTATAATTTTGTCACACGCATATACAGGGTGTCACAAAATAATCGCCAAATATTTATGGGCAGGTTGTGCGGACTAAACTGAATCGAAAAGTCTTGTATCATTTTGCAAGTATCTCCAGTTAAGGAAATAATATAATTCTTAAAGATAGCCGAATACATACCCGGTCTACTCTTGCAAAGTGTGTTCGCCTATCGATCGCTTGGCGCTATGGGGATAGCCTGGCAAGAGCGGCGCGCACACCGTCGTGAGCCTCCATAACTTGAACAACATCCTGTATATTACAATATAATTGCAAATCATATTTTTTATTCTTATGGGATTTAGGAACCTTAAAAAGGATAAAGCATTTGATGAATTAAATTGATGACCGCAATTAATACATAAAGTCTAATTGTGGATAATTGTCATTACATTATTTAATTCAAATTAAAATATATAAAGTGGTAATTAAATGGAAAATTATTCATGTATTAATGTAATCTTTATGATTAATCATGACTATTAAATTTTTTATTAATTATTTGTTATCGATAAAAATATGAAACTTTTTTAAAGAGCGATCCACAACTAGTGCTTTTATCCCACAGAATATGCATTTGACAATTAACTATCTGTGTCAAATGAATTTTTGTTATATATTAAAATTTATTTAAATATTATCATATGCAAAAACAATATATGGACTTATTGGAATAACAGGTAAAAGATTTATTAATGCAACTTGAGCACGTATGTAATCAAGTAAAAGATAAAAACGAAGTTGCTATTATAGAAGAATATAATTACACTGCAAGGCGTAACACAATTATACTCACACGTAAAATAATATTTTCAGATCTATGCTCATAATTATTATGTAACTATGGAATTAGTTTTAAATCATATTAAATAAATATTTCTATATATTTTAATGTATGATATATTAAACGGAATCTACTAAAGTATTTGCCATATACAGGATGTTAGTTAAGTATGTTGCTATACTCAACAGAACTTCTTTTGTTTATTTCAAGTAGAAAAGTTCAAATAAACATGTGTCCTAAATGGCTTAGTTTTCGAAATAAAAAAGTTCCGAATTAAAAAAGTTCCGAAATAGAAGAATTCATTGACAAAAAACTAGTCTTTGTGGAAAAGTCTCTGTACACATTGAATGTGATAAGGATATAACTTGGTCTTTTAAAATTCTTCAGATGACATAATTACTCATATTTAATATCCTATGTTCCTTGTGCTCGTTTCTGAATGTACTTCGATTTCATGAAGAAGCTAGTTAGCTCCCTTTAGTACTGATGTTCTAACTGTCATAAGCTTTCCAAGATTAACAGTATTCTTTACGAAAGAACTTTTTTCTCCAAGATAGCGGTGAATATTCGCAAATAGTTTTGACATGATAAATTGCATTGGAGATATCTTTCTGCATAAATATGCTTTGCCTCACGTGAGTTATCATTTGCAAGACTGTAGATAAAGTGCATATCTGCCATTTCAAAATTTATAAACTTAAACATAATAAAACCGATTTTGATGGACTGAAATAATTTGGCGCGAAAATGTATGTACAAGCTAACTAACTCGCAGCAATATCAGAACTGAAGTTTATTCTTGATTTTGTAACTTTGACTTTGACTTTGTCACTTTGTTTACTTTTTGCGAATGGTAGTTCACGTGAAGCGAGGCATATTTATATAGAAAGATATCTTCAACGTAATTTACCGTTTCGTCAAACATTTGCGAACATTCACCTGTATTTCGGAAACTGAACTGTTAAGGACACATATTTATATGGATTTTTTTACTTGAAAAAAACCAAAGAATCGCTCTGTTGAGTATGACAACATATTTAACTAACATTTTGTTTATGTCTTTACTATGATTAATGACATGTTAGTAAGCAATTTGGATAATAGCATATTACACAAATTGCATAAATAATAGAGTTCTTTTAAATAAAATTTTATAAATATATTAATAAAATAATATAAAATTTTATAACATATATATATTTATAATGGGTGCGTGATGCATATGTGCGCGCATGTGTGCGTGCGTATGTGTTTGCGCACTAAATAGTATAAATTTTGATAAGCTTATATTGCAGAATTTTTAATAAAAACATTTTCTAATATTTTTTAGTATTTGCCGTTATTGCTGTATTTATTTGTACTATCGGTCAGCATTTGTCGAATAGTTTCATTGTTTTATCAAAAAATATATCTCATCTACCAATTATGGTAGAATATTTTATCGATCAAGAAAAATATTTTTATTTAATTTTGTTGCACTTCTACGCAATTACATGCATCGGAGGAATTGCGGTATTAGCAATAGGAACATTGCTTCTTATGTATTTTCAGCATACCTGCGGAATATTCAAAATTGCTGGGTACGGATAAAGATATACGAATAGTCATAATAATTTAAATTGTAACCAAAATTTAACTTTAACACTATATGTTTAAATAACGTAATATATTAAAAAGTTTATGAAATTATGTATTTTTAACTAAAAATTGTGTCATTCAATAGATTGCTGTATAATTATACAAACATTTACAGCTATCGTATTGAACATGCAATAAACATCAATATTCGACAAAATATTACGCCGAAAAATAAGATTTTGATGAGTGAGAACATAATTTGTGCCATCGATATTCACCGACAAGCTATGAAGTTGGTATTCACGCCCATAACATATAAGTAATATGTTTATTATTATTATAAATAACATACTTCTATTTTTGAAGATTGTCCAAACATTTGCAGTCTATAATTGAAGTAATGATGTTTTGTTTAATAATATTTGGTGTAAGTTGCTTAACCCTAAATCTATTTCAAGTAAGTTTTCTGTTTCGTACTCTAATATGTGAAAATGCATGCAAATGCTGTTCCGAAATTATGTATATTATCAATCCTGTTTAGTAAGCCAATAATGCCAGAATTTCAACATTCCCAATAATAATAATTATTATATAAATATATATTTTGTATAAATAATATAAAAAATAACGATGTATCGTGAAAATAAAAATAATGAATATACATTGCAATAAAAAATTCAATAATGTTGAAGATATATAACATAAATTTACTAGTAGGGGAGACCAGTCTCGTCGGCACAGTTTTCACAATATCGGCATTACATTTTTTAAAGAATTAATTATTACAACTAAATATATATCAATATGACAGAACTTTTCTTTACATTTTCATATCAGTAATGGTTCTATACACTATATAGTTTCTTTGTAATAAATGAAATACGGACATGCTGCATTGTAGTTAACTTACCCCGATGTGGGGTAAAATTGATACATATTACAGTATAAATTGCCTCTATAATAAACTAACATAAGATAGAAAAGTAATAGAAATAAAAATTAGATATGTATTTTTTAATAAAAATTGTCTGTTTAAAATTTATTTTGTAATGATCATATAGCAAAATGTTGTTACAGAAAAATAAGTGTAAATTATTTTAATTCTACCCCGTTTTATTACTTATAGAAATATATTAAATATAAAGCATCAGAATTAAACGTTTACACGTGAGATATAATACAAAGCAGAGTAACCTTGTTCGTGAGGATGTATGCCGAAATGATATTCGTGAATGATAACATACAATCTTTGCAATGAAAAACACAATTCTTTAATACAGACAATGTAGGATACATTGTCAGTAACATGGTAGAAGAAGTAATGCTAATGTTATATGGCGATCGTTGTGGCAATTGAAGGATTGAGATAAACTCTGGCGGAACGCTAGAAATTAAACATCTAAAATTAGAACTAGAAAATGCTAGCCCTGCGAGGGAAAAAAAGGCACGTGTTTTGATGCTAACTATTATTGTATAAATGTATGTATAAATATATTGTATAATTGTATTATTGTATAAATGTACGAACATATTGCGTTCCTTGAATCTATCAAAATATAAAGAACGAAAATGGATTACAGCTAAATTAAATTTAATTCAAAATGAACTTGTAATATATGTACATATATATAATATATATATGTTAATACTAGTCATTATGTGCGTTAACACTTTCTTCGAACGGCAACACAGCGCATCTGGAAGCCAATCTCTTATAGGAACCGGTTACAGTTTTGACAATTGCAGTTCTGACAATGTTGCCATCTACTGGACAGACATTTCAAAATTCTACCAAGCACCCACTTCATGGGAGAGAGTGGAATTCCGTTCTCTCAACAAATTATTGTCCGACATGAAACATGAGGATTCCGTGGCTACAATTTCATTTTACATGATGTTGGAGTAAATAATTGTTCGCTCAATGTCTCTAAAAATGCTAACGCATTTGCTCTAGATGCTGTTCGATAAACAATTTGTTTGCATTTGCATAAGATTAAGCTCTGGATAAGACATCATAGTGTCACTAATAAGAAAGTGTCCTCAAATGTAACTCATATCATCAGATGAGATAACTATTAGTGTCTCGAATTAAGGATAGCTTCTACTTGAGACACAAACGTAGACGTCTCTTCGAAAGTCAGTGGTGTTTCACCGACTATTCTATAAAAATGCCTTTTAAAAGTTTTGACAGTGGCTTCCCACAAACATCAAAGTAGGGTGCGTATGATAGAATAAAGTGTCACTTGATTCGTTTCTTGGCCGTTTCGTTTATAATTATGAATTGATGCTCCTGATTACATAGAGCTCTAAACTCTTCTAGCTCACGATTGGCTTCTGTAAAATTAGTTCCATTATCTGAAAAAATATGTGAAGGTTTTACTTCTGCATAAAACGCTTGTATGCATTAAGAAGTGTTAATTAATTAATTAAAACAATTATTATTGCATAAATAAATTGAAATTTTTGAGTCAAAATTGTACTTATGTCTTTAAAGTGCCGCCAATTTGTTAATTTTCAACTTTTAACTTATTTTTTAGGTTCATCGACAAGATACTGTCATACAAAATAAGAAACCATTGTTTTTGTTTCATACAAATACAAAAGGTGTTAGATTTTCCACCGATTCATGATTCCGAGATTGCGTCAATATTAATTTATAAAAGTTACAAAATAAACTATATTGAAATAAAAAAAAATTTTTTTTACTTTCTAATATATGTAGTAAAACAAAAAAAATTTTTAAACAATCACGATTGTATACTTAAAAAAAAATTCTTAAAAATGACCTTTTTTTAGCGATTTACACGAAGCGACTCTTTTAAATGAAACTTAGGAAGAACTATCTATCTTTTATCATAAATGGAATACAATGCTAATTTGCAATGTTAATTTGCTTCTTAAATGCCAACGAGCCCCAGTCGGCCCTACTTTTAGAATTTAACAAGCAGTAGGGGAGATCGGGGCTTGGCGTAAAAGGCAAATTGGCATTGCATTCCGTTTATGTATTTATGATAAAAAAAATAATGAAATAGTTAATACTGCAAAATATTTTTTATGTAAATACTTTTCCCTAAGTTTCATTTAAATTATTTAAATCAAACAAGTGTTACAATAGAAAAAGAAGAAAGTTTGATTAAGAGCGCGCAAATAAATTTTTTAGCGTTTCATAATAATGTTCTTCGTTTTTGAGAAAATAAATCTAAGCGATGATAAAAGAAAAGTGTTTGTTAATACGTTATTTTGAGTAACAATTATAATAAAATGATCAAAATCAGACGTATATAAGTTTGGAGTACGTTGACTTATATCATGAGAAAAGATTAGGTTAATTCGTTGCACTGCACGTGTGAACATTCAATTACAATTTAACTCTGCCGCTTTATATTTAATTTATAATATTTCTATATTAAAATAAGATAGAATTAAAATAATTTACATTTACTTGTTTTTTTCTTCAACAAACAATATTTTGCTATTTCATGATCATTACAAAATAACTTTGAAAAATACAATTTTTACTAAGAAGTACATATCTACTATTTAATTTTTATTTATATTACTTTCCTATTTACTAGTTTTTGTTAATTTAATATACAGTTATCATAGAGGCAATTTATAATGTGACACATGTACCAATTTATCCTACATATTGGAGCAAGTTAACTACAATGCAGCATGTTTGTATTTCATTTATTGCAAAGAAACTATAAACAATAAATAGAACCATTATTAGTATGAAAATATATAGAAAGATTCTCTTAATTATACTGATATATTTCAATCATAATAATTAATTTAAAAATATAATGCCGGCATTGTGAAACCTGTGCCAACAAAACCCGATTTCCCTTATAGCTGATCTTATCTCTGAAGTCTTTATACATTTTTTATATTTATATACCAAAAAAAAACATATCTCCATACTTTTTATGGTTAATATATATAATATTGCCAAACATTTTTTCGATGCTATTTAAATTCATCATTATTCTTAGACTAATAGTAAAAAAAAATATGTATGTTTCCACATATACAGAAGATTTATAATCTCCTTTAAATTTGTATCTTAGTTATTTCAGATTAGTTCATCTGAAAATATTATCAACGAATTTTGCTTACCATTGATGTATGCGGTTTCCATTATTTTATATATGTTTCTATCCAATAATATCGGACAGAATATAATAGATCACAATAATTACGTATTCTCTACTGCGTAAGAAATATTTCATGATGAGTATATGAATGTTTGCACTGAAAGAACTATTTGCTAAAACTCAGATGGCCAAATGCAATGAGTTTGCAGTCATGTCAATAATTCTTCAAGCAATTAATTCGATATACTCGGGACAAGGTGATCAATATTATGTTTATAGCAAACTCACGTTAATTCGAATTATATAATAAAATGATGGCAATATTAATTTGCTATTCGTGAAAAAGATAATTTTTGATAGTAACTTTACAATAACTGGTGTTGCTAATTTGTAATTGATAGCAAAAGTGTTGTTTTTATGTGCCTCTTAAAAATTGTTTCGTCAGATATAAAAAATAATGTAATTGCAAAACAAATTAGTAAAGCTGAAAATAACTGATGCAGAAAGTTTCTTTTGTCAATTAGTGAATCGCTATTTATGTACAATACATAATACAATTTCACAGGTACAACGTTCAGTGGTATAGAGCTCCGTTACGTATACAAAGAATGATACTGTTTTTATTACAAAGAGAAACTAAGGTGTTTACTCTGAATGTCGGTGGATTATTTAATGCATCTATGGAGAGTTTCGGCATGGTAATATAATTTCAGCAATAATTTATACCTATAACCATATTACAAATAAATATTGTAAAAAGAAATATCTTTAATTGTAGTTAGTAAAGACTTCGGTATCTTACTTTACTGTCATATATTCTACGCGGTGATAAAATAAATATGAGTTTAATAATAGAACATAGTCTTTATCTTTTTCTAATTTGAAGTATTAGAAAAAGATAAACAATAGCTTAAACCGAGATTATAATTAATCTTACATTAATGAAATCTAAAACGTTCGTAAACATAGTGTAAGTAAAACTGTATATTTTACAAATATAAACAATAGATTCAATTAATTTATTGTAGAATCTATTATAATAATATTCAATAGATTAATAATATTCTAACAATATTTTACAAAATATAAAGCAATATGATAAAAAATGTTCAATTACCATGTTTTAAATTGACATAAGATGTATTAATTACGATCTGTACGGAAGCAAAACAATAGAGGTTATTTATCTCAAAGATCAAATGTATCATGTAAGAATTTATATGGAAATGAAGTTATAACATCAAAAAACAAAGGATGCGCTTGCGTAACTTCTGCCCTTCGATAAAATTCGAAATGTCTTTTATTTTTTCTTTTATTACCATACATCTTTCTTTTATTTTTATTAAAAGACAAAAGTCATTCAAAATTGTCTTGATGTCAGAGAGATGCCTTAACAATTCACATTGCAAAAAACAAGTAAAATATTAATGAAATTGTGATCTCACAATGGATATTTTGTATAGCCGCATATTATACAAATTATAGCATTCACATTAAAAATTTACATTGTAAGAAAGAATATCAAGGTCGATAGAAAAGGAGAAGAGATAATTGTACTCGTCGACTGCTTTGTATCCAGTCGCATCTTGGACATCGTGGTTCATCTAGGTATTCAATATTTTAGCTTCAATAGAATTCTATTGCTCGTTATGGGCTTGTGGCCCTATCAATCTAAATTCGCACAATTTCAATTTATTTTCTTCTCTTCTGATATCAGGTATTATATTTCAGGTAAGAACAGAGTATAGTAATATTGTGTAATAAGATACATTTTGCAAATCTTCATTATCAAATAGTCTTTCTCATTATTACGTAATATAAGTGCTATATAAATTTATAATTTGTTTATAAGCGTATAATTAAGAATTACTTCTGGTATTTCACAACGCTAATAACATCAAAATGTATAAATAACATCAATACTTCAAATCTCATCAACAAGATCCTATCTTCTACGTCTTACTTTATTTTTTGCATGATATGTTACGACTCTTTCAGTTTTCAACATCAAAGCTGTAAGTTGACAACTTACAGGATATACATTTGCATCATCTTTGTCCAGTGAATTTTTGTATACTACATACCAAATTTAATATATGCAACATTTGTTACATAATATTATATAAAAACAATATATGAAATTATTGAAATAAAAAATATTGAAATAGGTAAAGGATATATTAATGCAACTTGAGCATATATGTAATCAAGTAAAAGATAAAAACGAAGTTGCTATTATAGACTATATAATTACAACATAGAAGAATATAATTACTTTGCAAGACGTCACACAATTATACTTACAAGTAAAACAATATTTTCAGATCTATATTTACAATTAACATGTAATTTGTGATTAGTACTTCTAGATATTATTATGTATATGATGTTGTTCGATATCTCTGTGATTCACGACCTCTAATTATATCGCCTAATCGCATCTATGAAAAATCGATGAATCCACGAGATGTCGATTGCTAAACGACGCATGCATCACGCGTAATCGATTAAAAAAAAATATCAGATCATCTTGGCAACAAAACAAATTGTCGTTTTCGTTTTCTGCACTCGTCTCGTGGAAGGTCATCATCGCGCTACTGCTAAGATCCTTTCCGTAGCCGCTGTAAACACATTCGCCCGCGCTCGAGGCTTATTTTTAATAAAATTTGGAAAGCAGAGAAGATTTCATCTTTCTCGACCGTGTGCCCTCGAAGTATTAATTCTGCGGGAAACGCTCGGATGGTGATCGCCTGGCCACATCATTACAATTTCTTCGTGCGCTCAGTAAGATCGCCAACAGATGTATTGCACAGATTCTATTAAAGTATTGCCGTACTGAGTTTACAATGATTAATAACATATTAATATGCAATAACATATAGCACAAATTACATAACTAATATACAAAATGGTAATTCTAAATAGAAATTAAATGTATTAAATGTATTAATGATGTAATAATTTTAAAGTATATTAGTACGTACGTGCGTACATGTGCGTGCGTGCGCGTGTGTGTGTACGTGCGTGTGCGCCAAATTGCATAAATCTTGATAGGCTTATATTTCAGAATTTTTAATAAAAATGTTTTCTAATTTTTTTTAGTATTTTGCACTTCCGGATCTATTTGTATTATCGGCCAGCATTTATCGAATAATTTCATTGTTTACCAAAAATATATCTCGTCTACCAATTACAATGGAGTATTTTATCGATCAAGAAAAGTACCTTTATTTAATTTTGTTGCACAGCTTCGCAATTATATACATCGGAATAGTTGCGGTATTAGCAACAGGAAGAATGTTTCTTATGTATCTTCAGTATATCTGTGGAATATTTATAAATTGCTAGATACGAATGAAGATGTAGGAACACTCTAAATTTTTTGAAATAAAATTTCACTCCAAGAAAGATGAAAGTTGAGCCAGTTCGGCAAGAGTGGATTTTTTTCTTCACTTTTCGCAGAAATTGAAGTTTGACTCTTGCTTGGAGATTTTTCATTGTTGAAGAGTGATTCTTCACTCTGTAAGAATGAAAATTTCACTCCTGCCGGACTGACACAACTTACTTTTTGGGAGAGAAATTTCACTCCCAAGAATTTAGCGTGAATAATCATAACAATAAATTGTAATCAAAATTGATCTTTTAACAATATAATATATATAAAGAACATAATATTAATTAAAGTTTGATAATTATGCAGTATAAAGGAGGTCGCTCTTGACTATGATTATGATGTCAATGTCATGTCTTTGAGAAACCTTCAGAAGATTTTAGCCGACGCTCATTATTCGTCAAAAAGTAATTAACAATTAAAATTAATTAAAATTAATTAAAAGTAATTGTCTTATTACTTTGTATGAAAAATCGGATCCTTAAGGGGAGGTATGGGACGAATCGATTAAGAAAGTATAACTTTCCATTATACTGCTTCATTAACAAAGTTTATGAAATGATGTATTTTTTTGCTGAAAAATCGTCGTTTAATATACTATTCAATACACTGTATAATTATTATAGGACATATACATTTGTAGCTATCGTATCGAGCATGCAATAAACATTAATATTCAACAAAATATTACGCAGAAAACTAAGATTCTGATGAGCGAAGGCATAATTTGTGCTGTCGATAGTCACCGACAAGCTATGAAGTTGGTACACATCTACAAAATAGATAGAGTAGAGTGGGGCTGATTGCGCATAGCGGCAAATTGGGTAAATACAAATACACTGAAAGAAATGTTTGATTGAAAATGGACAATTTCAGATTGATGAATATAATTAGAATTTTCTGTCCATTTTCAATCACACATTTTTTCAGTGTAAATAACAAAAATATATATAGATATATCTTGCGTAAGATAGTACATAGATAGAGATTACTGTGCTTAATACAATAATCCGTGTCTGATCAACAGCCAAACAAATGCGCTTTTTCGTATATGAAAAGTAAAATTATTAAGTGAATATTCTTTTTGGTCCGTAATAATTAAAGCCTTTAATAACAATCAAATATTTTTTAGATGTAAGTAATTAATATGTTTTTTAACTTTACTGTTTAAGTTGCTATTTTATCTACTGTTTTTCAGTGATAAAAAATGTTTCATCAATACTGGTACGGAATTTGGTGAGCTTAGTATCCCGTAACTCAGCTACTTAAATGAAATTTGTCTTTAATGATCCTTTTTATTCTATGTTAATGATTAAACATATATGTTGAATTATTATTATAAAGAGTAGAGATTATAACTTTTTTAATTTTGTTAATGTTAAAGCCTTTAAAAAAGAGAGAGTTACAAATTATTATTACAAATTATTATTATTACAAATTATTATACATTTAGAATGAAAATAATAAAATTTCGATCAATGTATACATAATTCTTTCATGTTTTTAATGGTATGTACCCTTATTAAATGGCTTATCTTCATGGCTCAACTTATCCTTCGAGGATGAACAGTATGCCATAGGAGCATATTCATCCACTTGCATCCTTATAATTAATTAACGTAAATATTTTCATATTAACAAAATATATACGGATTTGAAAGTAATAAATTAATGAGGCAGATAAACACTTTAAAGCATTTACTGTTAGTCGTAATTGTGTAAAAATTTATAAAACTTAAAGTGACAGAGTCATAACTAGCCCCGCTTTCCACTAATATGTTTATTATAATTATATAAATAATATATTTCTGTTTTTTAAGATTGACCAAATTGTCTGTTGTTTGATGTCTATAGTCGAGGTAATGATGCTTTGTTTAATAGTATTTAACGTAATTTGCTTAAATACGTTTCAAGTAAGTTTTCTGTTCCGTAATATATAAAATTGTAATATATAAAAATGCATGCAAATCTTGATCCGAAATTATATGTATTACCAATATTGTTTAGTAAGTAGATATCCAGAATAATGCCAAAGTAAATTTCCAGTAACAAATTTTTTTATATAATAATTTAAAATAATTTAAAAGTAACAAATGTAATATGTAGTAAAATAAAAATTGTAACAGAGAAGATGCATTGCGTTAGAAAAGTCAATAATGTTAAGATATATAAAATTAACATGAATTTTCTAATACATTTAGAACTTAACGGACAAAAATGCTGATCTGTATTCTTTGTACGATCTTTGTATTTATTATTCTAAGAAATATGTACTATTTTATTCTTTATGATTAATATATACTGCAAAGCATTTATCTAATTTTACATAACTTTATCATTATTCTTACGATTAATAATAAAAATTAAATTTATTTACAGGGTGTTTCATTTTAAATGATATGATCGATTATCTCGCGAATCGATGATTTTATTGAAAAATTTTTTGAAGAAAAGTTATATGGCTTGAAGGAGGATACCTGATGAAAATGTGGACTTGATCTTGAGTGACCTTGTCAAAATCAAGTCAAGATCATTAATATTTTTTTAAAGTGAATATTATATTATTTTTTATTACATATTTTTGTAGTTTATCTCGAGATCTTTTCAAATACTATAATAAAGTTACGTTTTATTGAGTTATGTTACTTTCCGAACTTTTTGTTACTTTATGGAGCTTGAAAGTTACAGAATCGCCGGTGTTATTCGTATACGCATGTGTGAGAACGAAATTCTTACGTGCAAGTATCTCCGCGATCTATTCACTTCTACTTGATATACACTCACGCCAACGGAAATGATTCCGATTCTTCCCTTGAACGATTCAACTTCTTTTCAACTTCTTTTTTTCGTATACCTTTTCATATCAATTTTTTTTAAATCATTAGAATTTTTCGAAATTTTTTTCAAAATTAGCCGCTTACAGTTCAAATGAAATCATTGATATTATTTTCGTGTTTGGTGAAGCTGGAAATTATTGCAGAGTAGAAAGATTGTATCGTAACAGATATCTGTTTAGACTTTCAAATAAAATGTAGATAAGAAGAATTTTATTACGAGAGCGTAAAAGAATCCGTAAGAGAAACTGCAAGCAAATAAATGCTGAAGATGACATTAGTGATCCACGTGTATTAGCAGTGCTAGCAATGATAAATTTGAATCCCCATGTTTCGATTAGAGGAACTGCAACGAACTAATTTAGGAACTCTTTATATCACTATGTGGAGGATTTTAAAGACATAAATTTCATCCCTACCATATCTTTACTCCACTACTTTAATCCGCGAGGTAATTAAAAATGATATGAGGCTATGAAAACGATTTTGTCGTTGGACATTACAAGTGATAAGAGAAGATCCAGCTTTTTTCCAGTACGTTCTCTTCAGTGATGAAGACTTATTTCATAACAATCGATAACTCAACAGGCATAACTATCATTATTGGTTCATATATAATCCTGATACTGTTTCTATTATAAAAAGAAATTAAGGTATTTACTTTGAATTTAGATGGAGTATTTAATGCATCTATGGAGAGTTTCCGCATGGTAATATAATTTTAGCAATAATTTATACCTATAACCATATTACAAATAAATATTGTAAAAAGAAATGTTTTAATTGCAGTTAGTAAACACTTCGGTATCTTATTTTACTGTCGTATATTCTACGCTGTGACAAAATAAATATGAATTTAAATAATAGAATGATAAAAACATATTTAATGAAAAAAACGACAGTACTCATATTTAGAAAAAATGGCGTTATTTTAGATTATTTTTAAGCATGTAGTTTAGCTATAAGATTTAGTGAAGAAAAATATAATAAATTAACAAAAATATAATAAATTGTCTTGTCAACAAAGATGTTAGTATATTAGATCGTCGCAATGTATTCAAATTAAGTATTTTACTTAAATGTATTTATACTTAAAAAACTCACGTAATTCCATTTGTTGTAGCTATTTCTTTTAAGTAATAATTCTTTATCTGCAATTTATCGACATTGAACATTTTTTTCTCCTAATTAATATAATAATTTAAATAGTTAGAAAATATTAATGTATTCGCTGATCATGGATTTGAAGAAAACCGAAACGTGTGAATAATTCGAATAATATGGTATAGACAATTATTGTACATTTATATCATATGTAAAATCTTTTTTAATTACGTAGAAATTCGCGCACCAATTTCTGCGCTATGTATATCTTCTTATTGTCCATGTATTTTGCATTGTATTTTTTAATTTTGAGAACCCGATTAATTTTTATATTTTTATTATAAAATATTTAGTTATTTGAAATTTTCGTCAATCAATAACACAAAAAATGTAAAAAGATAAATGTGTAACTACTAATAGATAATATTTCTACCTAGATAGTTAATACACCAAACTGTTAAAAATCGCTGATCATTAATTGATGTTTAACATGTCATTAATTTAATGCAATTATTCTTATAAACTTTACCAGGCAGATATCAAAAAGTTAAAATTAAGAGATATTTCTGTTGAAGATCAAATGTGACTTATGAATGTGCGTAGAATGAAGTTTCAAAATTGAAAAAGGAGGGATGCGCCTATCTTTTCTGAGGCTTTTCAATAGCTTAAATTCATGAGACAGATTCATCCGTTGTATTATCTTATGCGACAAATTGATTCCGTATAAATAATGTTATAAAGAATAATAGTACGCGGATCATTCAGAAATTTTCTGAATCCAATTCTGATCTTATAGCGGACTGCACATCTGGGTATTATAGTCAATTAATAAATTTGTGTTAAAATTTATTTAAAAGAAAAACATTATATTTAAACGAAATATTTAAAAACGGAATATTTAATTGATATTTAATCGACAAAATTGAAATTAATAATTAAAGTGTAACAAATTAACTATAGTCGTGAGATTTCTATTTCAGACTTTTCAAATTTTTTATATTGATAGAGAAAGACTATTAAAGAAGCTTTAATAGTGTAATAGTTTGCTTGTAGAAATAAAACAGAATTTTCTTTTTTTTTCAAATGCGAGAAATGCTGTTTTATTTCTACCGAACATATATCTTCTACCGAACATATATCTTCTTATGCTCATATTTGATTCGTATTTTTCTCACTGTGCAGATAATATGATAATAAAATAAGATACTGAAGCTTTTATCAACTGCAACTATATTATTGCATTTACTTTTAATATATTACAGTATATTCAAGAAAACAGTATATTCAACAACACTATATGATCTTACTGTGACTCTAATGAACAAACAGCCATCAACATTCAGATGGAAATTTCTGACGCCTTTTATCAATAGGAAGAATATCATTCTCTGGATGTACAAGAACTTACATACCGTATCATCTATACCTACGTAAATTATTAAGACAAAAATCGATAATTTGAGAGAAAAATAAAAAAATTTACAAATAATTTTCAATATTTTATGTAAATCATACTAATGACATTAAATATTTGTTTCAGTTGTAAGAAATTTGTAAAATGAAACTTCTTTTCATTGTCCTTCGTGAGAGACACAGTAGAAAATACGTATTTGTTGTGATCTGTCATATTTTGTCCAAGAGAATTCGATGTAAACAAATGTGGAATGTAAACAGTTGCAAATATCATCAAGCAATAAAGCTTTTTTAATAGTCTTTCTCTATCAATATAAAAAATTTGAAAAGTCTGAAATACAAATCTCACGAGTAGTTAATTTGTTACACTTTAATTATTAACTTCAATTTTTTCGATTAAATATTCCATTCTTAAATATTTCGTTAAATATAATGTTTTTCTTTTAAATAAATTTTAACGCAAATTTATTAATTGACTATAATACCCAGATGTGCAGTCCGCTATAAGATCAGAATTGAATTCAGAAAATTTCTGAATGATCCGCGTACTATTATTCTTTATAACATTATATAAATGGAATCGATTTGTCGCCTAAGATAATACAACGGGTGAGTCTGAAATTAAGCTATTGGAAAGCCTCAGAAAAGTTAGGCACACTTTTCACTTTTGAAACTTCATTCTACGCACATTCACATTTGATCTTCAACAAAAATATCTCTTAATTTTAACTTTTTGATATCTGCCTGGTAAAGTTTATAATTTAATAATAATTGCATTAAATTAATGACATACTGTTAAATATCAATTAGCGATCAGCGTGATTATTTTTAACAGTTTGATATGTTGACATACTTTATATATATATATATATATA